AAGAGCAATCATATGTGATTAGATGATGACTGTCTCTGTAATTTGGATTGTGGAGGCTGAGGAAAAGACACATTTTGGCTGGGAGTCACTTTGTTGTTGAAAACAGCAAAGTCAATGTTGAAACAGGGTTCTTCCAATTGTTTGGGGTTTTTTTAATATTTTTTGAGTAATTTAGAATACAAACATAGCAATTAGCAAAACTGAGTGATTTTCCCTTTTGGTTTTTTTTTGTGTTTGTTTTTTTTTTTTTTTTTTTTTTTTTTTTTTTTTTTTTTTTTTTTTTTTTTTTTTTTTTTTTTTTTTTTTTTTTTTTTTTTTTTTTTGCTTAGAGAAGAAACTTCTAGACATTGAACAGCTATTGCGAGTTTACTTCTGAGAAGACTGTGCTCTGCTCAAGTACTGCTATGTAATTCTGGAAATGATGGAGCTTGATTTACACAAACTAAGTATCTGAATGACTGAATTAAAATGCTTATGGTCTTCAGTCCTCTCTCTCCTGTAGAAAGCAGTTTGGGTCTCCCAGTACATCAAAACAAGCTGTATCCTTTTTATAGAAGAATTAAACAAAAACATACCAAGTAAATGAAAATGAGTTTTAGTCTGTACCTATTGTGTTGAAAGTCAGTTATCAGCTCCCAGTTTAGTAATCAGCTCTGTAGTGCCCTATTTCTTAGTTCAGTGCAAATCGGGAAATTTTGTTATACTGTTTTCCAGAAGAAGAGGGACTGGACTCTTTTTCTGCTATTGTTCTTGAAGCAATAAGCAAAAAACTCTCAACAAAATCTGAAACCACAGATGACTCAGTTGATATTTCAATATGGATGAAATCTTCCAATTTTTGTGTACAACTCTTCCTGATTCTTATTCTGTCCTCTGTAAAAATTTTAAGCATAAGATTTTGCTGACTCCATACACCTGTAAATATCTAAAGACAGATTTCTTTGGTTTAGCTTTTCTATCTCTCTTCCATGTATCCAGAATAGTAATATGCTAAGATATTAAGCCAGAATTTCAATGGAAATTATAAAGTGCTCTTGGCTGCTGTGCAAGCACCATCACTTTTCAGTGTTTTCATAAATCTGAACTACTGCCATTATATTTCAGCTTTTACCATATTTTGATCCAAGAGAGATCAAAGCAATTAGGAAATGAAAAGGATGATGATACCACAGGCTAGTTTCAAGATAAAGTACTAAGTGAATATATATAATGGCCAGTCTCTTCGCGAACGAAGAACCGGGGAAGGTCTTTCCACCTTCCAGCCTGCGCACTGGATTTTTTTTAGGTGAGACACAGTGTGCGCGGAACTGAGCCCACCCTTTAATCCTGAGGTTCATCTGCCGGGGCCAAGCACGCTTGGACGGTGGCAGCGAGGTCCTCAGGACGTAGATGGATTGCCTTACAGGGCTAGCGAGCTCCATCTGCCCGGGGAGTGTCCTAACCGGGAATCGAACCCAGATCTCAGCGTTGACAACGCTGTGGTTTAGCCACTGCACCACCAGGGACACTCACTAAGTGAATAATGAAGTCTTCTAGTTTATCCCCACTTATTCTCAGTAGGGAGCAAAATGAACAGCAACAGTGCAGATCCCTTTAGTATCATTCTTTTAAGGGGTTCAAAAAATTATGAAACAAAACCAGGATGAAGTTACTCTTTGCTGACTACTTCTACAGTATTTGTCTTGGGGAGCATGCCTTCTGATGCCTCCAGAAAGGCTGCTGAGATTCTCTGGTTCGATGCTTATGTTTATCTATATTAAAACATATTTGTTTATCTATATTACAACAATTTTTTATTAATTATTTATTATTCTATATTAAAACAATTGTTTATGGCTTCCATGACAAATTTTTTGAGAGGCTACAGAAAATATCACATGTAACCAAAAATGTCTGTAGCAGAAGGAACATTAAGCTTTGAAGTTCTAATATTTAAATGTTCTCTCTCTTAAGCTAAACAAGATCTTGGACTGTATTAAATTCTAGACATAAGCATTAAATTCTAAGCATGCTGGGCTGTTTAGGTTCAAGAAACATCACTGGAATAATAGTTCTAAATATATCAGATGGAATTTTTGTTCTCTTAAACAAGAATTCTCAGCTTTTTCTTCATGCTGTGGAGAACAGTTCCTTGTCTACCAAGACATTCATCACCATCTCAGTTGCCTTTTCCTGAGACTGCCTTCTCTACCCACAACAACTGTATGCTCCAACAGTCACTTACAGATCAAGAACATTCTAAGAAAGTAGGGGGTTTTATATTTTTAGTTTCTGCTTATGCGCTTCAGCAGCTGGAAAACAGAGAGAAGAGCCAATACTATGAGACTATCCAGCTCTCTCTCTAAGTCATCAACAAGAGCTCTGGAAAGTGCAAATGGTTCACAGATTTTGGAAACTCCTATAAAGAGACCTAAGTTCACAGCCACACTGTATTACAATTTTTAGTAGAAATGCCTTCATCAGCATTCATAAGGACAGGATTTTAATCTAAATTTCCATCAGACACCTGGACCAAGATTTCTTGAACTAGAAAGCTCTAAGGCCTTTTTTTTTTTGTAAGTATTAAGGCTGCATTAATTAATGACTATGAAGAAAAATTCTGTATACACTCATACTATTGATTTACCAAGGTCATGGGGTTGATCCCTGTATGGGCCAATCACATAAGAGTTTAATTTGATGATCCTTGTGGGTCTCTTCCAACTCAGAATATTCTGCGAAACCTATATAATATACCATTGTATTTAATACAGCATCATTAGCAGCCATAGCACTTCATAAGCTTGCACAAAAAAAGCGATTTATCCTGTCACAGCACGCCTGGGAGACACATAAACTTGTCTTCTTTCCTTTCCTTGTATTAGCCACACTGCCTGCAAGGCCTCCTTGCAAGAAGTTTCAGCCTCCTTGCTCTTACCAGAGGAGCCATTTTGCAGAATACATGCTGTTGTTAATCCTGTGCCACTTAAATCTCTGCAGACAGGTGATTTCCTCTAGACTGAGGGGGCTTGAGGAGTTGTTTATACAGGGAAGGGAGTCATTTCCCCTTTTCTCAATTGCAGCCCTAGGGATGGTTCTTAGTGAACCTTAGACTGAGGTTCTCAGTCTTCCCTGTCTGCATCAATCCCCTTTCACCTCTGCTTCACAGGCTGATTCTCACCTATGATCATCTTATAATCCATGGAGTGAAACACATGCCCAGGGTTGCTTTAAATTAGCTCCACTCTGGTAGCAAGACTACCACAGTGCTGTGAATTATCACACAGACTAATTCAAGAAGTATTCAAAAAATTACTCAGATTCTTTTTATAAGTAATTCACATAAATACTGGCCTACATGAGTGTGTTTCATTTTTTATTAACCATTAAGTATTTATTTTCCATGTCAGAATCCTTGGCTGATCAATCTTCTATCACACACTCTCAGCTCCAGTGATGCTGCTACCTATCCATTATCACAAGAGTTCCACCTACAAAGTTATTTTAAAATATTTATATAATATTTGTGTATTATTTCCAGCAATAAAGACAATTTAACAAAGTCAGTGTTGCAATATCCTCATAAGCAATTCCTGTAATGCTTCAGTGAAAAGCATCAGCATTCTTGGCTCTGCTTGTCACAGACTCAAAATCCTGATCATACAACCAAACTTACTTCTGACTTTGTTCTTCTTTTGTGCTGGATATATTTGGTGTCATCTTTGATTTTTAATGTTAACCTTTTTTTGCCTACCAAAAATCCAAAAACTATTATTCAAAATGACATACCTCTGTGTAGCCTGCTGTCTAATAAAGCACATATATACTTGTCGATATACACTCCAAACAATATCTACCACCTGGACAGCTGAGTGTTTTAAATAGTCCAAAATTATAAACAAATGTATTTGGTTTAATACTGAAAGAGTGTAAATACACCTGTGTACAGCTGGGAAAAAGACAACAGGTATACAGTACATCTTGAAGACTTGACAGGCCCCATTTAAACAAACCTCAAGAACCTCATGACAGCTATTTTCTATTGTAGAGGCTATAAATTTGAATCTCTGCAAACAAATATCTGGTGTTTTCATGGTCATAACTGTGGAAGCTGCCTGAGGCTAGGGAGGAACAGGTTCTGCAAAATCTATTCTGAGAGAGGAAGTTGGAAAAGCCTCCTTAAACTTGACAAAACTCTGCGTATTAGGCCAATCTACAAATTCTCTGCTTGAAGAACCTAAACAGGCAAGCAGTCTGAAGTTTCCCCTTTGGTCTTACCGCTGCTTTGTACTTCCTGGTCAATATGACTGTAAGTACTCTGCAGTCTAAGAAAGAGCATACCTGAGGCACTGTGTGCCTCCAGACTGAAAGACCATAGAGTGTGGGGGCACAACTTAGAATTCTTCTTTTTCGTGCTGCTAATGTTATTTAAAAGGCTCTGGGCAACATACTAGACTATACAATCACTCACACATGCGTATTTATTTTGCTTTTGCCATGGATCCCTCAAAATCCATTAAGTGATGTCCAGACCAAAGAATCCTGGTCCTTGGATCATCACCTGTGATGTGACTGTCATCACCTGTGATCTGAAAAGTGACTGAATGTGATTGAATTCAACATTTGCTCTATTTCTTGGGATGGTGGTTTGGTTTTGTCAACAGTGATGTGGCTGCGTAGATCTGCTACGTCATGCAAGCAGCAGAGTTTTATTCACTCACATCACCTCTACTCACTTCATGTCAGTGAAGAGAAGTCCCAGGGCAGCAACACAGGTCTGCTGAGCCCAGACAGCTGAGTCTGTGGTGCTGCACCCTGGGGAGCCATCTCAGGCTCTTGTCTGCATGTTTTACTTCCATACTTCAGGAGTCATTTCAGTAAAGCCCAGATCTAAGCACTCCTGTCCCCAGAGGTCTCAGACTCATGAGTAACTTAAAGATCAGCTTCTCAATTTCATCAGTGATTGCAAATCTCTTAAGTCTGGAAAAAAAACTTGTGCCTGGTGATACCACATAGGAACCCTACCTTGGGGGACACGGGTCCACACTACAGGCTTTCAGTAGCTGTGGAGGACGGCGGCTGGTTACACACAGTGTTTCATTGGCAGTCTCCCTGGTTTGTTTGTTCAGACAGGTCACTACAGCCTCCTGGACACCTGCACACAACAAAGCATGGTCAAGGACAACTCTCCACACCTGTAGGGACAGCTGAGGACAGAGGTGGGTCCAACAGGGCCAGCAGGGCTGCAGTGTGTGAGGAAACTCATCCTCACACCCAACACTGGCAGCTCTGGGGCTGCAGCCCCAACTGTAGACTTGTTACTGCTTTCAGTGTCTCTGAAAGGTTTCTCAATTGCAGTGAAAAGTCCATGGGTTCATTCACCACTTACCTTCTCTGGACAGAAAATTGTCTGGTGCTCTCCAGTGACTCATTCTTTCCCTAAGAGTGCAGTGAGGCACTTTATTTGCCAGTACAAGCAAGCTAACATGTGAAGATGGCTTGGCTTCACTATGCTATGTTTTCAGTAACAGTATGATCACTTTAAGTGCAAAAGTAAAGTAAAACATGGTCAGACAATTCAGCTGTTCTCAGTTATTCATCCACGGATCTGCACCTAAACCTAAAGACACAAATGTGCAGGATGTATCTGAGAGCTAGGAAAGAAAAAAGGTAGCTTTTGGGATTAAGAGAGAAACTCGAATATTTGGTGATTACATTTTAACTCAGGAATTCCTTGGTAATTCCAAATTCCTTATGTACTCTTTGACATACTAGTTATTCTGTTTCACTTTTCCAGTGAGTAGGAATATTACAGGGTTTTTTTTTTAATAACAAGGCTGGAAAGCTAGAAAATCAGGGATTGCAACATTACATGCCATAGGGAAGAGGTCTTAGTGAGAAAGGATCTACTTCCCCAGGGGAAAGTGGGATCAGGGGGTGTGTGTGGGGAGTGTCAAACCCAGAAGGGTTAAAACAAAGTGAAGGTATGCTTTTTATATTCATTCCTGCTTCCTGAGCTAGGAAAATATTAGCTGAATTCTTAACAATTACATTATCTTTTCAAACCCGAGAATTAGTTTTCCAAAACATCTCACAATTTTTTTAAGACACACAAAAAAAGAGTGCTGTAAGAGCTTGAACAGCTCCAAGAACAGTGTCACAGGGCTACCTTTTGCTGTTTCTAATGCCAGCACACATGTCAATAGGCAAACAATGATATCATATTTTTCAAGAGAACCAAAGTGCTGCAGCTGATCATAGTTCCTATGGTCCTGAAATTTTGGATGGATTCACTCCCTTTAATCTCAGTACAGGCTGAGGTCCACAGAAAAGTGGCATGTTAACCACTTTTTTTGGCTCCTGTGTATGTAAATCTATTCAGCTCACGTCTCTGACACAAGGCTAGGCAATGTCTTCCCTGCATCTGAGGTACTAAAGAAAAGAAAGAAATTTAGTACTTTGGACATGGACATCAACATCAAAATAACCAAAGTCCCTGTAGTCAACTAGTACTGTTGTGGGTTTCCTTCCTTACAAGGTTACCCCATATTTTCAAGCCCTTTTGCTATTCCAGTCATCACCCAAGAGACTTGAGGAAAATTGTAAAAATGATAGCCTATTAAAAGAACACAGCAAAAGGTAGTGATTTATCTGTAGGGAAAGAAATAAATGAAATTTATATTTATATTTATATATATTTATATATATAAATATATATATATTTATATATATAAATATATATATTTATATATATAAAATATATATTTATATATATATTATATATATATTATATTTATATATATATTATATATATATTTATATATATAAATATATATATATATAAATATATATATATTTATATATATGAAAACCCATTATATATATATAATATATATATATTATATATATATAATGAACCCTGTCATGTTCATTATCTTTCCAGCTCAGTAATTTTTCTGTGTGTTATAACATCGTGCAAACAGAGGCATATGGATTCTCCAGAATGAACTGGTCCTGGCTGTAAGAACAGAAGTGATTCTCTACCTGATGGGAAATGACACCATGTCCAAATTACTGGTCTCTACTTTGCATGGAATATTTGCGCAGACCTGACAGCAAGACTAACTAATTTGATGAAACCAGGAGACAAGGACTGCTGATCCAGAGGTATGTAAACCATGAAAGTGCTTTTCTAATTTTTGTGGAAAGAAACCACTGACTTCTGACACATGCCAGTAACATTATTCTGTTTGCTAAGTATACAGCTCACTCACCTTCTATATTTTATTCTCACACCAAAACCTTGTAAACTGAGTGTAGTTCCACAGCTTTAATTTCTCCTCCTTGAAGCACATCACTAATGAGGTCTTGATAAATTATTATCAATTACCTTAACAATTTTCCATTGTCTGTTTCAATGCTGACTGCTGAAAAGTGACTGAATGTGACTGAATTCAACATTTTCTCTATTTCTTAGGCTGATGGTTTTGTTTCATGGCTAAATTCATGTAGCCAAACTGTAATACTACTGCTCTTCACTTTGCAGTATTCAACCAGCCCTAAACCTCCCAGTAAGTTCATTCCCCATGCTTATATCTGTCATTTAAGTCATCTCTGATTGTAATTCCAGTAATTTTTGTCTATACTACAAGCATTCTACCCTGCTCTTTAAAATTTCCTTTTACCTTTCAAAGGTACTGGTAGGACCAGTAAACTTGCCTGACAGTCACAGGTGTGAAAGAAAAAGGTTCTTGTGTGATTGTGATGACTAGACTATGTATTGACAGCTTTTGCCTCTAACAGCTTGTGCCAGGAACTGGGGGGGGGGCGGGGGAGGGGGGGAAGTCTCGCTTACTCCAGTAGCAAAAAAATCACTTTCTTCAGTTTCCTCTTGAATCTCACACTCAGCTGACATCAGTATGTCTCAGCACATTGATAATGACTGTCCCTCTATTCAGAGTAATACCTTCTATTCAGGTAATATAGCAAATGGTTATAAGCTTAAAATCAGGGATGACTCATCAAACATTGAGAGAATATAAAAACCTTAGATTATATTTTAGAAGTTACAAAGTATTATCTCCACAGAGATAATTAAAAAGGTATATGAACTTCAGGAAGTTTATTTGCTAAGTAACCAAATTTGAAACATTATTTACTGCATAATATTATCAGAACAAAAAGCCGTCTCTTTAAAAGTGTTTTCCCTGAAAAAAAGAAATCAGTCCTCAACAGGAAATCACAGTATAAAAATATGTAATCTAGGCAGTTTCCTTTTCAAAATATCATCAAATGAGAATTTCTATGTCTATATCTACCAGAACAGAATAATTGTTACATGATATTTGATGACAGCTCTAGGAAATGAAGCCACTAACAGCAGACTAAATGACTAACTCATTCCCTCGATTTGCTGCTTCTAGGAGGTGAAAGGTTACTTCTGCACCTATGCTGTTTTTTTCTTTTGGACTCCAAATGCAATAAAACTAATTTGACCAGTTTTGCGCCTATGGCTACAAAAATACCTGACTTAGCATCTGTTAATCTGAAAAGTTTGGAGTTGATGTCAGACAGAGAGAAATCTTGGCTGAAAAATTTTGCTGACAATTGAAAGAGAATGAATTTATAAAGAAAAACGTCTCAAATCAGTGTCTGTGAATTACATTTGAAAAATACACACTGAATCTCCATATTCAAGGAAATTCCTTCATGTAAAAAAGGTATGTCTAGGAGCTATTCAGGTTTGGATAGTCATGGTAAAAATATGAAAAATTGCTACTCCTCACTAGTAATTTCAATATATAACATATAATTCTGTAAAATCAGTGGTCATCTCCACTTAGTATACATGTTTTTTTGTGTAAGAAACAAAGCAAAAGTGTCAACGGTCTGACAGCTCTCTGTGAACTGCTGTAAACACTGACTACCAAGCAAGTATATTCTGTATTTATCTATAGTAATCCTTTTTTAAATAGCCCAAAACTTGAAACGTAAAAGACAGCAGATGAAAAAATTTAGGTTAAATTTAAAAAAATACTGGAGTGAACATATTTCTCAGAATGAGAGAGAGAAAATCATGGGGAAAAAAAGGATATCAGAGAAGTGTGTGTTAATACAGTCTATAACATCTGGAACCTAAGACCTTGATTAACTTTGAGAAACTCCAAGTGTCAAACCTGCTAGTTTCAGAAAATCATACCATCAGTGCCTTTTTGCCATGTTTTCTTTTGCCCTGTGATTTGAACTGATATCACTTAGTAATAGGTGTTAGGGAACAGGAGGACAATTTGTTTCCACGTTTGTACTTGCACAGAAGAACTCAAGAGATAAAAAATAACAATTATATGTGATTGCTAGACTGTATCACCAGACCTCTTTAACATTCAGGTTTTTTGGCTGAGTGCCTTTTGAGAGATGAGCTGATAAAGGAAACAGAAACATGTGACATATTGATCATTCTTGGTGACAGTCTGAGCATGGGGCCCAAAAGTCCTGGCCTAAAATATGTTGTGCGTATGGGTTTTTTCACAGTTTTTATCCATGCATTTTCAAATACGGTTGAACCTGATGATCCTAAAGTATTTTTTCGAACCTTGCTGGTTCTATCATTTAAAGTAGCCATAGCAAAGCACCACGTCTGTGGGTATTAATTGCAAAGTACACATGAAGAGGAAATGCGAATCCAGCATAGAAACATTTTGCACCTACCTCCTCCACAGGACTCTGAACACTCCGTAAAGCCTTCGTATTCCCAGTCATAGGGCTCATCAAACTCCTGCAAGCTGCCATACAGAAACTCAGTCCCCTCTGGGGTGTATTCGGTTGCCTCCCCACTGCAGGGACCACTGTAACAGGCTCTCTGAGACACAGGTTTGGGACCTTCACATTCATCGATGGGCAAGTCAGCCACAGATTGGGAGAAAGAGAGGAGCACTTGACATTTCACAAGCCGCACCTGGATCCCTACTTCACAGGTGACACTACAGGTGGACCAAGCCTCAGGAACAAACCTGTGAGAGGAAGAGAGCAAGGTATGTCCACGTACAGCCAGAGAACCAAATGCAGTGTAGTCTTGTCCAGCTGAAATTTTGTTTAATGAGAAACATGCTTCACTGCATCATCAGGATACTATAAAATACACACAGAAGCTATGACATGCTGTTGACAACTCAGTGGCAGGTCTCCTTATGTCCAAGGAAGACAAACCCTTTGAGCACCTGCCTTGATCCTAAAATATCTCAGTGCAAGGCATCCAGCAATCTCTCAAGGTGCATCATGATCCAACTAGCTACCTTTTGCAACCCAGATTACCTTGGCTGTTATCACAATTTTTTCACTAGAAAGTACTGAACAGACTGCTGTTGTGTAAGGCAATTGCAGTATTACATGGAAAATAATTTCAACTACTGTTCCTGTATCACAGTAACTGTTTTGAAGTCTTAATTTGAACCTAGTAAGAGGTAAAGAATTCATAATTTCTTTAGATGTTTTTTGTTTGTTTGTTTGCCTGTTTTATTTCCCTAGGACACTTAATTTTCCTCACACTCCACACCTATTGAGGATTTCTTTGGCTGTTGCACTTGTCTCACTGATTAGCAACCCTTACACACTCCAAAGTTTTGCTTCTGAAAGTCTCTATATACTTTAGTATAATCACCTTGCAGCTGTCATTACAATAAACAAATTCCATTTTTTGTTGTTTTCTTCAATAATGGAATAATTTCTTAATTTTTCTGCGTTGTCACTGCTTTTTCAATGCTAGTGCTGAAAACTGGCCTAGCATTTTATGCAAAGTTACACCAAACATGAGATTCACATTCAACTCTGTATCACATTGTTACTACCTTGCTGCAGTAATGTAACACACTGTGCCACGTTGAACTCCGCTGATTCCTAAATCTATCTGGAAAAAGTAGTTTCTGGGCACTCCACAACCTGCATTAGTTATTCTTAGATACTTCTGTTAGTGGTATTAGAGCACTACAGTAATGAATACAGGGTAATTCAGATGGCTTTATTTGACTGTCTTGCCTTCTGCATTGGTCATTCTTCCAAACTTCCTGACACGGGCAAATTCTAAGACAGTGGTTGTAGTTACACTTCAAGGGCTAGAAGAGAAGAGCGAATAGCTGAATCTGTGTCGTGGTTTTGCCCAGCCTGCCAGCCCCTGGGGCTGAGAATGGTTTTGTCCAGGTGGATTTCCAGACAAGAAGCCATTTAAAACTCTCAGTAACACCTTTGCTAATCACCAGAGAAGGTGGGTTACGCAGTTGAAATTAAGAATGGCAGCCATGTAGGAGAGGTAACAGTGGGCCCCAAGGTGGGCCAAGGTGCCTTTCTCCCCTGCCGAGGGGCAGGTATAGCACTGAAGCTCCCCTTCTCTCTTGTAAGAGAGTTGAGGAAAAAAAACTTTAGAAGACTGACTACTTGGACGAAAAACCGCTGCAAAGGAATTCCAGCAAAGAGATAATGGAGTGTCCAAGGTTGAAGCTGGCAGTTGCAGGAGAAAGAAGAAAGTTCGAAGGAAGAGGGACTGTCTCTTCCCTCCCTTCAGCAGGGAAAAGACTGAAAAATAAATCCCTACTACCTGTAGAAGTTTTTTTGGGGTGAGGAGACCCCATGTTGCTCATGGAGGAGCCTACACTAGAGTAAGTTGCATGAGGAAGCCAAGACTTCATGAAAAGGACTGAAATAAGGTAGAGTGCTATTGAAGATTTATGACCCTGAGAGGGATGAGAACCTTACGCTGGAGCAAAGAATGGCTCGGGTAGGGATGTTGGGATCTGTGCGTGGGATCCGTGCTGTTGTTGAAGATTTGTAACCTTGAGAAAGAAACTTATGCCGGAACAGAGAACGGCTCGGGTAAGATGTGGGGATCCAAGTGAGGGATCCATGTTAGGCCCATGCCAAGAGTTCTATCAAGGACTGTTCTCCCATGGGAAGGGACCTCCATAGGGAAACAGGGGTGGACTCATAAGCCATTATCCCCTGTAACCCCGTGGAAGAAGATCCATGGTAGGTAAGTGTCCCCTTGCAAGACCATGGAAGAAAAACCTTCAGGGCCTAGGTAACCCCCCAGCCTCTGGTCTTAGCCCAGAACGGGGGTAGGCCCAGCCCTGGAGGCCAATGCAGAGCAAGGGAGAATGAAAAAGAGTTCCAGCTGCGACGAGAGTGCTGCAGAGTTATTGAGGAGACCTGGAGCTCCAAGAATGGAGAGTGAGACTGCTTTTCCTCCTTAGACTGATATAAAGGGGGGAGAAGTATTTCTGTAAATACACAGTACTTTTACTTAAGTAAAATTATTATAGATGTAGTTCTTTAGTAGTTTTTATTTCGCTAGTAATAAGTGTTCATATTATTTTCCCAAATCAAGTCTCTTTTGTCTGCATAAACCTTCTCTTAACTAATAGTAATTGTGTGTGGGGGGGTAAAAGCAAACTGACCCAGAGCAAAACCATGAAGAAGTTAAAAAAAAAAATCCTAAAACTAAAAAGGTACTTTATGCTTTCCCAGCACACATAACCAGGATCCCTGACTGGAACAGCATAATCTTCTTGAGCGGAGTGTGTTTAACTCTTTACCCACTTTTTATGTGTCTTTGTTAGAAACCTGACATTCACTGCTACAACTATATACAGGAAGCAATAGAAAGGAAAGAAATATATTGTAGATATTATTGTAACTTAAAACTATTTATCATGCTGCTACAAAGACTGTAATATTTTTTTTCACAAGCCTTTGAGAAACTAATGATGCAAAGTGATTCAATTTTCCTTCTCCTGAGACATTTTCAATCTTGTTTCAAAGATGAAACAAGAAAGGATTTTGAAAGGATTATACTGTTTAACAGTATAAGTGGGCTACTCATCTTGTTTTCTCTAAGACTGTGTAACTGCTCTAATACTATTTTGATGTGGAAAATCTCCTGTCAGAGATTAAATGGCTCATGTCAGTCACCATGAGAGATATTTTGACTAGGTAAAGTACATAGCTTCTCAACCTGACCAACTAAGAGGCAGAAATCCTAATCAGGATACAAAAAAAAAAAAAAAAAAAAAAAAAAAAAAAAAAAAAAAAAAAAAAAAAAAAAAAAAAAAAAAAAAAAAAAAAAAAAAAAAAAAAAAGGCCCTGGTCTTCTTCAGAGTCTTCATCAGAAGCTGTCTTCCTTACATTTTTGAACACTGTGAACTGTTGTTTAACTTTGCTTTGTTGAAGACCTGCTGTATTCCAAACCAAGAGGGAGGATATTTTGCAATGTATTAAAATTACTCATTTAGAGAAACAGAGATACTTCAAATATTCAGAATATTTAGACATGATGCATATCACATATACAAACACAGAAACAGAAAGGAGAGGACACAAAAGGAAAGTAGGAACATTTTTAAAAGTAGTCTGGATCCTTGTCAAAATGAGACTTGACAAAGAAATGTCACACATTGTATTATTTCACCTTAGTCAGCAACTCATAATGAAAACACTGGAACATCTTCAGGAAATACTTTACTCAGCTATCTAGTCCCAATTTCTACATTTCAAGCGATAGCTTTGGAAATGTAATTTAATTCTAATATAACTGTTGGCCGTTAAAGAGAGAATTGTTAAAATTAAGAGAGTTAAAAGCAGAAAAAAAGAGGGGAACTTCAAGAAAAACCTGCAAAAAAACCCCAAAACAAAAAACAACAAAAAAACCAACTCCATATAGTACTTGTTGTTAGAAATGGAACATTTATGTAATGCAAATGAATAATACAAATATCCAATATTTCTGAATTTTCCATCATCCTAAAACCAGGAAATTACAAAGACTTTCAAATATCTTTGTGCTGTCGTTAATGATAAACGTTGCCAAATGGGGAGCACAAACCACAAAAAGTATATGAATAAGAAGGGGACAGTTCCATGAATTTAAAGTTATTTGTTCCACATATAGCTCATCATCCACTGCATAGCACTGTGCATTTCTGTTTGCTAACCCCTCCTTGGAAAATGGAAGTAGTGGAACAAATTTAATGAGAAGTAGGTTTTTAGAAAATGGGAAATGATGGAGGTGCTCCATTTGTCATTACATTAAAAATTAAATCCCACTGTTATAATCACCCCTATAATAATATCCCTAGTAAATTAGACAAAAGCAATAACTCGTTCTAGTAATGTGACAGTAGTAGTTAGTTGTCAGGCAGAACCCAACTGTGTTAACAGCTGTACAAACAAAAAAAGGTGCCTCTTTCCTTAGAGATCATATTGAGTATTTCGTACCTCTTACCATGCATTATAGTGTTGCCATTGCATCAAAGATAATCTTCTTTTATTACTCAGAGCAGACATGGCAATATGCTTCTCCCACAAGGGAAAAATACAGAAGCAAGTGTGTTCTGAGGCTCTGATGAATATTTTAAAGAGGAATCTGTTGGTCCTGTTTTAGAGACATCAGTGCGAGGTAGAGAAGTGAAAGCTGGAAGAAGGGAAAATCATGACCTTGCTTGGTTATGACTGACTGGCCCAGGTGTCATGAACACCTTTTTCAGATAGCAGTGTGTTTAGTGTTAAAAAAACCTCCTTATATTAATAATAGGAATTCATTTTTCCGTATTTATTTAAAAATCCAGATTTTGTAGACTAAAATGTGCTATGCAGTGATCATTTATACACAGAATCAGCAAAAGTAATATCAACATTTAAGCTGAGAACAGCAATGAAAATGGCAGTACATAGTCTCAAGATATTTTTTCATTCAAATTCTGGGCATAGCTAAGGACTGGTGTATATTCCTCTCAATACAGCAACATATCTTCCAGCAATGTGTGTTATGAAGGAAAAGAAGTGTCTACAGACTGATGTGGTTTGACCTGTGGTGGAAAATAGCTTATTTTTTTCACTGCTACATAATTACATGTTGCCATAATTTTTATTGTTTAATGATTTTTTGCTCAGCTTTTTTTTAACCTTTTTTTTTTTTTTTTTTTTTTTTTTTTTTTTTTTTTTTTTTTTTTTTTTTTTTTTTTTTTTT